TGTCTGGATTATACATATATCTCTATCTCCACCTTTCATTTATTTATTCATACTTTGAATGATAAAATTGAAAATGTTCCAAGATATATCATAAGAGGAAGCCAAAGAATAGTACAAATTGTTAAATCTTTTGTTGTAACTATTTTAACTTCCAATCTTGAACAATTTTTGTCGACAAGTTCCAATTGGCACAGTGTCACAAAGAAGACAATTAACAATTACTTCTTAATCTGGAAATATATATATTGTTTGAATGACAATTGGAATTGAAATGTCATGAATTGTCAAATAATAGAAGTTTGAACCATAAAACATATATAATCATTGGGATTTATATCATCGAAATGAATAAAGAAAGCTTTTACCACTAAATACAAATTCAAAAAGAGTAGGCCTACATGTACTTTAAAATTGTAAGAACATTTTGGCTGAAGACTGCCACTTAAAAGATGAAATGTTTGAGAAGTGTTTTGTACAAGTTGCTCTTTATAGAGGAATCACAGGTATCTAGTTGCTAATTGTAACACTTCAGCTATTTATACAAGTCTATCAAAGACCAGTATAATTGTTGATGTCATGTAATGTCACCAAACAGAAAGAAAAAAAACACAGAAAGATCAGAGGTGAATGAAGGATGGGGGTAGAAGAGATCTACTAGCAGCAGCAGGTGCTAGATTTTCCATGTATAATTATTTACATAAGTGGTTTATTCTACAACATCTGGTGACCATCATTAAACATGTACCTAAACCTAATATAAACTCTGCCATCACATTTAACATTTTTAACAACTAAACATTTTACTATTATTTTCTATTTTCTCAACAAACTACACCTACATATATTAGATGATTACTCCATTTTTTCCTGGAATTTTGTTCATCATCTCAAAGAATAATCAATTGCTTCATCAACATAGATGCATGTTATGAAATGGAAGCTTAATGATATACTCAGTATGCAAGTCAAGATGTCTTTTCCACATTCCAACTCACTTCACCAGAGAACACACACTACACTTGTCTTATTTTAAATTTACATGACATTAAGAAACAGTATAAGGCTTCATTGAAAAACAAAACATTGGCAAATGGTTTGTTATTTTAAATGAAACCTTATCAAGATTCCTCGTTTCAAGGCACAAGTGGTCAATGAGATGGTTCAATTACGTTAGTTCTTTACCTGAATGTTTCAGACTCTTACTGGATAGCAGATTAAAACAATATCAGTGCCAAACTCCAAACAAATCCACAGAGCATGAAACTGATTCCTCTATCACAAAGATTGACTGTCTGATGACTGACATTTTGTCATTGATCGTGATATAATTTGTCAGATATATTTACTGAAAACACATTCTTCTATATTTAAAGGTACTATTATGTTAGACCAATGTAATGCCGTGCCAACTCAAGGAAAAAAGAAATTAGGCCAATATTAACATTGCAGACAGTTGTATAATGAGTATTGATTTTTAACCAGAGGTATCATTTCCTACCAGATCTATAGCTTATATTATAACACGATAATTCCTACTTGATAAAATTCCTACATTTTAAGATATATTAACTCCTTAGGGGTTAATCTCCATCAAACATTATTAGTTTATACAATTGCAAGACTTGTTGCAATTTCAAGGGATATAAAACTTATTAGAAGGTCAACAGATCTTAAGATCTGGGTAAGAACTATTCTAGTTCTTATTGTAAAACACCCTGAAACCCATTATAGTTCTATTGTGTACCCTTGTCCACATTAAGACAAAGAACTCCCTTCATGTTGTTGCAGTGCTTTTTGTGCCGGATTAAAGAGTCTTTAAGATTATGATAAAGACAAACACTAAGTGTATTATATCATTAGATTTTAACTCTGATGATCAAATGAGAGTAATGCCAATTAAAATAATTTGCGGATAATTTTGATAGTACCTGTGGATAATCTGGAAGTTTAACTAGTACAGGAGCAACAGAATGTTATACAAGATGATGACCACCTACGGTGGGATTACTTAATATGACCAAGTCCAGATTCCTTCATCAATTTGATAAGATGCACAGATAAATTCTCTTCAAACCCTTATCTTAAATCAAAATTCTTTCTTTACAATAATAATGATTACAGACCCTGATATGAATTATTTTCCAGCCTAGATCAATATAAAGTTTGATATCCTGATCAATTAAATAAATTTAATTTCTGTGTGCAGAAACATCCTGCTGCCAAAATAGATAATATTTTTATAGTTTTCTGTACAAATCATGTAATGTAGAACGGATGCTGCAAACCTTGTTTTTCAGATTATAAAATTGTAGTCTACACATTAAGAAAAAACTTGACATGTGCAGATTTAAAGTATTTTTTCTATTATTTGTTGCTACAGGTTGTTTTATTTAAACAGTAAACTGTAATGAAGCAGTTGTTAATATAACATTCTACTCTTAGTTTTTTTTTACACTGTATTCTATAATAATATGTAACACCAACCTCAGATCAACACTCTACGATTGAGGTAACCAAAGAACCAACATATGCCTAGTCTTTTATTCCAACTAAAATAGTGGGTGGCCATTAATGAGGAAAAACAACTGCACGCTTTAAACTTCATTTCAACAGACATCGTCTTGTAGGTTGTAACTTTAAATCCTGTTACATATAATATTTTAATCAATTTTCTAAACTTACACAATTCCTTCTCATACATTAAAATATCCTGACCCAGAGTTCACCAAGCATTCAATCAAAAATATCATTGCTCCAGAAACAAAACTTTGCACATAGTTTCTTATTGATGTATTTGATACATTAATACAACAAAAGTATTATAAAGGGCTATATTTTAGTTGAAATAAGGTGAACAATTTTGAGTAAATTTTTATCTTAAGTCTGAGAATGCTTTGTGAACTCGAGGCCTGATTTTAATTTATATAATGGCATAAAAAATTTGAGGTTTCATTATTGTTAATATTTTGTTGAGAAAATTAAATACACTGTGTCTGTGCCTTACAACTGCCCGTCTTTCCATTGTCTTTTGTATGTTTCATAATGGTCTTTAGTTGATTCTATATGCATACAGTCCTTAGTGAACGTTTATCTCAACTTGTCCTGGCCATTCTCAATTTTACTATTTAAATCGTGACAAACATCGTTTATTTGGATTAAAATTAAGTGCTTGGATAATCTTGTATTTACTTATCTTGTATATTTATGTGTCAAATGATGATTGGGGTTTCAGTTAAAAAGGTGTTAAAATGATTTACCCCTTGATGTGTAAATAATGTGTATCATTGGATTAATTGTATATTCCACAGATTGTTGTCAAAGGCTGATGTTATTAAGAAAGGGAGAGATCATCATAGGTAATCCATTTGTATATCCTTGGGATGATCTTTAAATCTGGAGATTTTAAGCTGACATCTAAAGTGTCATAAAAAGTGATGATAATTTGATGATAGGTGTCAATGGTTTACAACCTGGTAAATTATTACAGTAATTATATGCAAATTTCATAACAAATATACAACTATCATAATCCAAACTAGTTATTAATATCAACTTATAATTACTCATGTGGGCATAGTTACTTGAACAAATAAATATACGTATAATTCTGTGACATACAATTACTGTTTATAACTGACCGATTACATAATATTCTTTTTGAATGCTTGTATTATCAAAATTGAAATCTTTAGAAAATGCAGAATCTTTCTTAGGTATACCAGAAAGGTTTATAAGTCAAAGTATTATCCAATAATAACAAGCTTAGCCATGCTTATCATCAATCATAACCATTCTGTCTTTCAACATTACTTCTCTTATTACAAGTAAAAGATATCTGTATGTTGTAAGTAATTTCTCTTAGGGACTAAGATCATTATAAGATAATATTTTACTTTAAGTAACAATGTTCGGAATTAGTCATCATATATTATGAAAATCTAAGCACTATTTCGATTCCAAGATTCCCTAAATCTATCTTAAATAGATTGAGTAAGAGAAAAATAAAGGATCATTTGTGATGCTAATATAAAATTGGACGTTTACGCAGACCTTACTACAGCTGCATTTTGTTTAATAAATTATTGAAAGCAAAGTGTTAAAGGAAGAAGATACAGACAGACGGACATGATAAACAAAGATGGTTAAGATGGGGAGGAAATAAGTTCTTATCTCTATCTACACTTACACCAAGTAGTACCAAGTTTAATGTAGTTATAATATAATATAGTAAACTTTGTTTTAACCTATTTTAACAGCTTGGATAAATTCTTCTCAATTTGTTAACCTGTGCAAATAAAATCTCAAATGATCATAAAAGTACTGATTGTGTAATAAATGGAGCTCCCATCCCTCTGAAATTTTGTCAACTCTTATTTTGAACTATCCACCCTAGTTCAGAATGGTTCTGTATGTAATCTTGGAACTGCAATTACATATAATTCATTATACAGGAACCATAATGCTTGAAAGTAAGAGAATCAGCTGTTATTTGAAATGAATGCCATCAGTGAAGCTTTTCTTTCGGTTCTACATAAAATATAAATCTGCAGTCAGCTGATGTACATTTATACATGTAAATCTGTTAACAGGGATATTCATTGGCAGTATGCGTCTAGTAAATTGTAATGTTATAATGAATAATATATCATTTTATACAGAAAATCTATTGACATTACTGAAATAGATCTTATATATTTTTCTAAGTCAGGCAAAATAAAGAAATCACTGCAATTAATCAGTTGCTGGAGACTGTGTTGTATGAAAGTAACAGTTCGGTTGTAATGCCTATTAGTAATCATTACAGATTTTCATAATTAAATCTAATGGATGTCTGCATAGACCGTATAACAGTTGACTCAATACAATTGTGTCTGGTTTAGTGCTAACTACTGTGGTCAAGATGAGGGATAGTTACAACATGCACAATAAAACTAAAATACATCCTGGTACAAAAGTACTATGAACATCAATTTGATACATAACTAAAAAGAAAAACTTACCACTAACGGAAGAATTCTGTATAACACAAGCCATATTTACACTGACAGTACTAGCCAGTCTGCTTATACTCTTATAGAACGATTCCACAAAGTTACAACAACCCCTTAAACTGCACTCTCTTAAACAATCACAGCTCAGCTGCAATATTTACAGCAAATAGCTGTAAATGATTTCACTCGTTTTTCATGATATTTGGCTAGATTTGTTGAGCTGCTCAACAAGAATTTGAGATTAGTTTAAGACAGTAGATGGAAACGAGTGAAGTTCAGGTACATGTAGCCCTGTAGTTACCGGTGGGCTAGCCTGCCAGCCTGAAGTCAGATCAGCCAATAGATGGCAGTGTGGAGGTGGATATGTGAAGTACAAGCAAGCCAGAATGTCTCACTGATCTAGTCCATAATGTGAAGATGCTCTCACTACTAGTAGCTAAAGCCAAACCGACCAGGCATGTGTTCTCCATTAATCAGCTGTCAGGGCTATTAATAGTAACAGGCAAACCTGGTCCAAAGTGATGAAAACCTGGGGATTCCCTTCTGCAATCATTGTTTCTTATCTTTAACACAGGAGTGAGGGGAGAAGTTAAAACTAGAACAATCAACTTAATGATTTCAAGTCGTTTATATGTCCTTTCAATCTGGGGTCAGACTGACAACTTGTTAAAATTCCAACAATCTTTCTAATATCTGACCTAGCACTTTAATCACAATACAAGAAAGAGAAAACATTTGAAACTAAGAAATAGCCAATGCCAACACAATAGAATGTTAGTATTGTTTTTGTTTATACAACTGGAATATTAATCTAGTCAATATGTGCACATATTTATATTGATAGATGTAATGGTGATTGATGTACATGATGAATACCCAGAATACCATAAGTACAAAATTATATACATACATGTATATGTAATAAAACATTGGTTAAAATGTCTAATTAAAAACAAAGATAAAGTCTATCAGGCTGGTAATTTAAACATTAACATTTACAAACAAGTTTAAAATCAAAGCTGTGAATTATAATACCCTTTCGGCAAAGATAGTTGGGGTTTTTTTACACCTTGGTGGTTGAAATATCACTCATCCAACAAAATATTCATTCTTATTAATAATGTAAGATCTGTTTTTTTTCTCAAACACAGATTAAAATCTGCATTTATTAATATAACGGTAAATTCAACATACCCAACTTATGGAAAAGTTAAAGACCTTTCATGCCATGTAAAGCAATAGTTATGTACTCACATACATCAACTACACCAAATAACCATTCTTTTTATAAATAATGGGTAAAATACACGCATGTTTTATTTATATACGTATCAGTTAATAGATGAATATATATATTGCGTATTTCAAGATAGGAAGATTCCAAGAACAATGACATTTTGGATGGTCTGAGTTGAGATGTAGAGCAGCTGTATTATTCGTAGACAAAAAAGTATCAAGTATACCAGATGAAACAATCAAGTTATTTAACAAAAATACAATGTTCATAATTACAGATATATGAAGGGGAATAAATCAACAATAAAAACACCAAAAGTTTTAAATTAGCATGTAAGCTTATTCTTAAAGTACCAACATAATATTTAATGCTTACAACTTTAAGTGTCACATATTTTATTACAGCATTGTATTAGATTCATAAATCTTTTTCTTGTCCTTGTTAAAGTCTAAAATTAATATAAAAAAATACTCTTGAGCAAGTTCTTAAGAATCCAACTAAGTCTAACATTAATATCAACAAATATTGTTGAGCAAGTTCTAAAGAATACAACAAAGTTTGATCAAATTCCAAAGAGAACTCTGTCGTGAATAGGGTTTCCATAGAAGCAAAATGCATTCAAAACTCAATGATTTATAATCAAAATATTCTTGATTATAATTGGGTTCTTCCTTATGACCCAATGAACAATTTCACCAAGTTTAAAAAAAAATTCAAATCGTAACTTTGCCAGCATTGTGGTCATAGATTTCTGCAAAATCTAAAATTCAATAGGGTGCTGCCTTATGCACCAGTGAACAGGCTTACCAAGTTTTAAAAAATTCTTTCCTGTTGACCAATCCCATTAACCAGACGGTAAATAGGAGGATAAATCAGTGATTTTTTGTCGAAAATCCTTAATTTCAATGGGGTTGTTTTAGAAATCACATTCAGAACATTGTCCTATAACCAGTTCAAAACCTTAAAATGTCACGATTACTCTGATAAATAACTGCAAAATGTGGTTGAGGTTTATGTTCATAGGAATTTAGTAAGTTTGAAAGTAAACTTGGTAACTTGCAAGACTGAAACGTTGGTCCCTCTGACCTGATTAATTTGGAAAAAAACCCCAACCCCAAACAAATTGTCAAGTAACATGATGTCCCGTAAAGTGTTCATAAGCAGACAGAGGTGACAAGGATATACATCCAGATTTATTTATTTCATTGTTGACCTGTGTATCTGTCTTAGGTTTACTATTGGACTAGCACAACAATAAAGCACCTACATATCTTTCAAAACAATTCATCAGATGATATAAATGTAGCTAATCTCTAGAAATCTAACAAGTTAACAACCTCGTAAAACCATGTTGTTTGTTAACATATTCTTTAAATTCTATTCCTCTTACCAATAGATCTTGATAATGTTATGTTGAGATGTTTTTTTGCCGACATATGCATGTTAAGTTTGAGAAGGGTAGAGGAAAAGTAAGACTATTGTCTCCAGTACCTACATTAACACCAGTAGATAAAGAAAGTAATATATGATGACACTACCATTAAAAAGAGGAGAGAAAAGTATTTTTGTTCTGGCAATAATGTTGATAAGTAAAGATAGATAGTTGGTACCGTGACAACAATGTATATATATATGATCGCTATGGATATGATATATGGAGGAGATTTTTGTATAAATAAGCAAACTGAACAGCACTGTAACAATAATACTAACATCATCCTAGTTTTTCTGACAATCATTACTAAGTAATATTACAAATTCTACCTCCTACCAACAATTAATTGATGATCTAAATCATCATTCTACAATTTGAATCTATCTGATCAACTACTTGATCACAATCTTTTGTTTTACAAAATTGTAGATATTAGACTACAGTAAATGATGTGAAGGTTGAGAGATTAAAAGAAATGATTAACTTTGGTTGATGAAGACTGAAGGAGTCTGGTTTAATTATTAAACATGAAATTTGAACACTCTCACTGTAAGCTTATTTCCTTTTAGTGTTGGTGGGCGTCATTAGGTCAAACTTTCTGTTTTGGAACAGTGACTAGCTAATATCAGAAGGATTTTAATAAATATTGAATCCGGCAAATCTTTACGATGTAAAAAAAGAAATTCCTACTATTTTCAGCAAATTCTCTTCATTTCAACTCATTTATAAAATCAAGCAAAGGTAAGAGTTGACAAGAGCATCGCTACCGCTGCAATATACGTCCACATTCCTGCTTTGATTGATATGGTACTTTTTAAAACTAGAAATGGGCGTGGCTCTGCCCCTGGGGGTCGGGCATGCACCAAAAACAATAGGGATCTTCCTTGGGGTATAAGGAATAAGTATACCAAGTTTGAAGAAAATCCAGTAAGAATTGCGCCCTGTAGGCGACACAAAGACACACGAAAAGAAAATGGGAAATGGGCGTGGCTCTGCCCCTGGGGGTTGGGCATGTACCCCAAACGATAGGGATGTTCCTTAGGGTACAAAGAATGTGTATGCAAGATTATAAGTTAAGAAATGTGGCCTGTAGACGACAAACAAACAAATACTAGAAATGGGCGTGGCTCTGCCCCTGGGGGTCGGGCATGCACCAAAAACAATAGGGATCTTCCTTGGGGTATAAGGAATAAGTATACCAAGTTTGAAGAAAATCCAGTAAGAATTGCGCCCTGTAGGCGACACAAAGACACACGAAAAGAAAATGGGCGTGGCTCTGCCCCTGGGGGTTGGGCATGCACCCCAAACGATAGGGATGTTCCTTAGGGTACAAAGAATGTGTATGCAAAGTTTCAAGATTATTAGTTAAGAAATGTGGCCTGTAGACGACAAACAAACAAATACTAGAAATGGGCGTGGCTCTGCCCCGGGGGGTCGGGCATGCACCAAAAACAATAGGGATCTTCCTTGGGGTATAAGGAATAAGTATACCAAGTTTGAAGAAAATCCATGAAGAATTGCGCCCTGTAGGCGAACCACAGACACACACACACACACACACACACACACACATACATACATACACACACACACACACACAGACAGGGGCGACGGCATAATACGTTCACATTATGAATGTGGACGTATAAAAATGATTAATGATAGCAAGTCTGAGAAAACTGGTCTAAGAGTTTGTAGTTCTATTCCACTATATCTTGGGGTTCATCCATGGGGTATTCCTGTATTCAAATTACCTGCCCTTGATCATAGCTTGATTCAACAAACCAATCCAAAAAACTGGTTTACAAACCAGTTTTAGCTTCATTGTTTACATTCACACAAAATTATGGCAACTTGTTTGCTTGATTATGAGAAAGTATTCAAGAAATATAATATAAAAGTGACACACACAAAAAGATGCCCTAAAAAATATTTTTGATGGGAAAGATGTTTTTATGTCAGTCAAACAGGCAGTAGCTAGTCATTATGCCATCAAGCATATATTGCAGTGATTCTCAATGAGTGTGCTGCGAGATCTTCCTAAGTGTGCCGTGAAATTTTGAACAGCACACTAAGAAAATGTGAAAGAAGGGCGATCCAACTATGGTAAGTTCATAGCTGTGTTTTTCTTTATTTACCTTGAGTCATTCTATGTATCTATGACTAGTATGTGTCTACGGTTGTATGCTGTCTATGACTTACCATGTTTTATTTTGCAAGATTCAAATTTTTTTCATATCTATTTAGCCAGGTGTGCCGCAATTTTTTCATGTGTTCCAAGGTGTGCCGTTGGCAAAAAAATGGTTGAGAACCACTACATACTGTTATCTGTATTTAACGATAGAAATAACACAATCATCAAGGGCAGATAATTTGAATATGTGTCTCCCCCATGGATGAACTCAGCAGTTAGTGGAGTGGAATGGAATGAGACCACTGGGGCTTACGAGGATGTGTCAATATTAGATGGCAGTGTTATTGTTACTGGTACATGTAGTTTATATAGTAATCCTTGACAGTTGAATGGCAGTTTAAACTACAAAATGATTAATCTAAATGAAATGAAATGGGGTTTTCATGTCCTACTGTTCTGCTCAGAACTGGGCTAATGAAGACGGGCATACGCCATACAGTGTGCTATGAGGAAAATTTTGCCCGGACAGCGGCACTGTGGCCTACTCTTAATCGAATTCCAACTGTCAAGGGATCTTTTACATGCATGCCAATGTGT